CTCCTGCTGCTGGGGGGGTGGGGGGGTGGGGGTGGGGGTTCCCCAAACCCAAGCCCCCCAGGTTAAGCCCCTCCAAGGACAACCCAGCTCCTAGCCCACACCCCCCAGCAGCCGGTCCCCACCCTTCATCAGCCCACTGGGGTGGGGGGTGGAGGCTGCATCTTTCTGTCACAGACGCCATGGGCTCCCGGCACTTCCCTGCCCGGACCGTGCTCTTCGAGAAGGAGTCCAATGGCGTCACGTACCGCGTGCCCGCCCTGCTCTACCTGCCCTGCATGGCCAAGCTCCTGGCTTTTGCGGAGGAGCGGCTGAGCGCCGATGATGCCCATGCCAACCTGCTGGTGCTGCGCCGTGGCACCATCTATGGGAGCTACGTGGAGGTGGGACGTGGGGATGCATCTCGGGGGGGTGGACACACACGCTGGGCGGGGGGCACAGGGAGAGCCCAGTGGTTATCCTCCACCACTTGTGGTGGCACAGTCGAGCTTCCTGGAGGCACCCACATGGGGAGGGAGGCTGGGTTGGGTAAAGTGAGGTCATCCTCACCCCTCTCCATCCTTTCCTCCTCCTCCTCCCTGGGCAGTGGGAAGACATGCGTGTGCTGGAGACGGCAGTGCTGCAGCACCACCGGTCAATGAACCCCTGCCCGCTCTATGATGAGTTCACCGGCACCCTCTTCCTTTTCTTCATCACGGTGCTGGGCAGGACTCCCGAAGCCTACCAGATAGTCACTGGCCAAAATGTCACCCGCCTCTGCTGCGTCACCAGCGCTGACCAGGGCCTGAGCTGGAGCACGGCCACGGACCTGACACAGCAGGTCATTGGCGGGGCCATCAAAGGTAGCCCACCAGAGGGGGAGGTGAGGAGGGGGGATGACAGCCAACAAGAGGGTGACAACGGGTTTTGGCCTCCTGGAGGTGGCCTTGGGGTAGGAAGCCCAGAAGCATCAAAGAGATGGGGTGGAAGAGGACCTCAGACAGAGGGGAGAGGGGATGAAGAGAGTTATCTGTATCACTTGCACGGGGGGGAGAAGATGGAGAGGCCCTGTAGCTATGGGTAGGACGCTGTGTGAGGACAGCCAGGCAGCACCGGCCTCTGCTGCCCTCCCACGCAACCATCTTGCTTGGCTAGGATGGGGAGGGATGCTCTGAAGACCCTTCCACTTTGGGCATGGCAGGGGCACCATGGAGGCCATTCTTCACCCCTTATCCCATCTCCACTCCCCAGACTGGGCAACATTTGCACTGGGCCCCGGGCATGGGATCCAGCTGCGGTCCGGCCGGCTGCTGGTGCCCGCCTACAGCTACCACATTGATTGCAAGGAGTGCTTTGGCCAGCTCTGCAAGACCACCCCTCACTCCTTCGCCTTCTACAGCGATGACCACGGCCGGTGCTGGCGCTTTGGGGAGTTCATCCCCAACCTGCAGACAGGCGAGTGCCAGCTGGTCTCAGTGGACGAGGAGGATGGCTCCAATGTCCTCTACTGCAATGCCCGCAGCCCCTTGGGCTTCAGGGTCCAGGCACTCAGCACAGACGATGGGGCCGTCTTCCATGGGGGGCAGCTGGTCCAGCGGCTGG